ATATAAGTTGATACGATTCAAAACTAAAAATATAACTCCATAAAAATGCCGAACTTTTATAATCTTAAAGTGAAAATTCCTCACTTTCATTCACTCTCCGCATTCCAAAACTCCAAACAAATACAAATGTGTTTTTCAAACTTTTCGAACTTCCCGCAGGTCACATTGTTTTCGCGTCATGAAATCCGTTCCACAACTCCAAGAATTCGGAAATAAAACCGAAAAATTGGATTATGAAAAATAGCAAACGAAGATCGGGGTATATTTTTCGATATAACTTACAACTCGCTAAGTTTTCACAAGAACCAGTTGTTCCCGTGGAGCTTTTAAGCCGTACATTCCATTAAAAAAAAAGAGAAGAGGGGGAGACATTCCGGTTATCGCAGCTTGCATAAATATGTCAGAAACCCCTCGTGAACGAAGCTAAAACTAGCTGGGAACAGCGAAATGGAAAACGCGTCTGCCTGGACTGCGACCCTTACTCCTGATGACGGGGGGGGTAAGTCAGACACGTGCAATGCATTTAAATTTCTCGCTAAAAATACCTTCAATTCCCCTTCAATTACCCAACGAAATTTTTATTCTCCCGTCACTTCCCGCACAAAATTGACCATCGCGCCTCCATTAATTTGCAAAATTGCCCCGATCACTTCATTAATCGCATTCCTTCGCACTTCATCTCGATATCGATTACTCCTGTCACTCCAGAGAAATTCTCTGCGCTTTCCGGGAAAAAAAAAACGAATAGGAAAAAAAAAACAACAGATTGAACGCAGCACACGTACCTACAGGGGAAAACGACAACAGAAAAAGTATGGGTTGGTGTGACAGAGGAAAAGGGAAGCGATCAAACGTCATTTTCACTCCTTCGTGATTCCCTCCCCCTGTATTTCCTTTTTTCCCTGAATTTCTTTTTTTTTTTGCCCCTTTTCTAAAACGTCCACGGATGCTTTGCCGATGGAAACGAGGTCGGTGCTTTAATCTATTTGTCCTCTTCCTATTCCCTTTCATTTTCGTCCCCCCTCCTCACCCTTCATTGTGTATCCGCTTTTCTCACTTGTGTTCAGCGCTTCCTCAATTCGATTTCTCGACTCTTTTTCCACGCTTTCGGATTCAACTATTCCGTAATTGAATCGACATTTTTCGGTAGGTGTCGTATTCCCTTCGATGTGGAATTTCAGGGTGGTGGGTGGGATTTGGGTGGTAAAAAATTCTGGAGATTCTCGGTCTTGGCTGTGATCTCATTCGTCCTGGAGGGGTGGCCCAAGTACGGAATGACATTCCGACTACTGGTTAATTATCGGAATACTCTTGGAAGCACGTTGAATTAGGGAAAAGTTTTAAGGGCGTTGAGAACGAGGGAGAGAGGGAAGTCCAGTCGAATGTACTTTCTAATTGGCAGTGACAATTGAAACACTCGAGGGAATATTGTAATTTGCTCCGAGTACTCGCAGGAGCAACTTCTCAGGGACTCTTTGCAAGTTTCGTTAACTTCAATTGCAGTATTAAGTGATAATGTGTATCGATCTCGCGAGAGTGACCGTCAGATTTCTGAAATGAAGACGATCTATTTACATTCATCCGCATAAATATTCCGATATTTAAATCAATTCGCCCGATACGTTGAATAATGTATTAGCGAATATTTCTATAAGAAGATTGAAATGTTTGAATATAAAAAATATGTGTTTTTTTTTCTACGTCCGGGGGTTGAACTTGACCGCCTCCTCGCGCCATCTGCCGGAAATCCTCTGGACCTCTGGGGGTTCTCTGAATTCTTGCACCCTCCGTGAGATGGCAGATGCCTGTCCTCTTTGAGACCCTCAGAATCTGCGATAAGCAGAACTCAACATATCCGACAGACCCGGCGCCGCTTCCATCCAAAACTCCAGCTAAATTTCTCAAAAATTCACCTCAGAGTATTGAATCCACGATTCACATACCCCGAACAAGTAAGCGCTCCGAAATTAATTGATTAAACTCAATTATTCAAGCGGAAAAAAATATTCGCGAAAAAAAAAAATGTCTGGACCAAATAAAAATGAATTCCATGCTCTTTCTCGTTATTCGCAAAACAATTTTATCAACATCGCCCATTTGAATTGGCGTGCATTCGTCAAAGCAATTACGACGGAATTCACATTACGGATTTATTTACGCGAAAATACTTTTTATCCAACTTTGACTCGTACCACTGAATAACGACAAGGCTTGGCGGAACCAGCGGCTGAGTGCCAGCTTCATGTCTACTCGTGATTTACGACGTATTCTGGAAAAAATCCCTCCAACGCATCCAGAAAAAACGGGGATTCAATTTATAATTTAAACAGTGACGAGTTTTACAGGGAGATACCAGGGGTATTATCAATTCCGTCTGCCCTATCCGGAATGAATTCCATTGGTTTAGCGAATTCATCGGGAGGGGAATATAATTTGCTCCAATGGCTGAGTCCCCAATCGTTTTTTATCCCCCGTATATAACGAACCCCTTCGCATCATTATTTACTGTCGGGTATTATATCGACGTTTTCTTCAGCTCTCGATTACGAAATACGATCCGATAATAAACGATAAACAAAGGCGTGGAGTGCACCGACGGAGACTCGATGGAAGAGGGCTCCTCGTAATTGGGGGAATGGGGGTAATTAAATTTTGAGATAAACTTGTTTCGTTTGTATTATCCGGTGTAACGAGGTAATTTGAAAAGTTGAATGGTATGGGTTATCGTGTTGGAGGATTTTGATCGATGAGTTTGAAGAAAATTATAAACTCTTCGGTCATTATGAATTTCATTTTTCAGAGATATTCAGTCGTTGTGTGATAAAGTCACTGTTGATTTTTCAGTATAGATGAAAAAGAGGAAAATTTGATTTTCCACTCGAAAAAGCTTCTGCTTTGAGCCACGGTGTACTAGACAATTCATTTTTAACCGGCAAAATTGAATTCTCAATAGCTAAAATCATTTTCAAAGGCCCATTTTTCCCCCCGTACTCGGGCTGAATATTCACTAATGCAAATTGGAAAATGTTTTGAAAGCCCCAGTTTGGGTGTTGAAAAAAAAGCCTTTACAATCCTCACCTCGTTGGAATTGACGTAAATAAAATAAAAACTCTCGGGGGAGCCAACTCGCTCATCTCTCAATTCGCCAGAAGGATTCATTCATCATAGTACTCCGCATTCCACTGTTTCAGTCCAAACATTTTCGCAATAAATCTCCAATTGGAGGCCCTTTTTTTTTTGTTCCAGGTCAATCAAATCCTCGGAGGTATCCAGTGATGGTTTTTATTCACGGTGAGAGCTATGAATGGAACAGTGGAAATTTCTACGACGGCACTTTGCTGTCGTCGTATGGCAATATCGTATTTGTCACTCTGAATTTTCGGCTTGGAATTTTAGGTGAGTTTAATCATCAAAAAGTCATACGACCATTACGTACTTTATTCCGTGATTAATTGATTTAAACGAAATGTGCAGGATTTAGACAGATTTTCACAAGAAGAAAAAAAATGTGAATACGCTGGCAATCCCCTCTGTATTTTTAAACATCAGCCGGCTTTATCCTCAATTTATACGAGAAATCGATGACATTATTAGTATCGAAATGAGTCCCGGCTCTTGCCACAGCATAAATTACAATAACCTACATAATGTGTTTAATAATGGAAGCAGAACGGATATATTGTCGGCGCCAGCCTCGACTTGTACCACCCAGTGAGTAGGTGAATGTATGTTCCATGCAATTTCGCTGGAGGTACGATTATATATTGTAATTCAGTGGTGTCGTTTCGAGCACCACACACACACACACATGAATTCCATATCATTTTTTTTCTTTCACCCTCATTTTTAATCCTTACTCTGTCCTTTTATACCACCTTTTCAATGTATACAAGTTCCTTCGGAATCGGAGCGTGAATTCGGTGGGTGGGTGAATCTTTTTTTTTTTTACCGTTACGATGAAAAATCTTCCACACCACACGGCGCTAGTTTCATAAGTTACGACCGGTGTGGAAATGCATAAATTCTCAGAGTTGAGGGAATTTTTTTCAATACTACGGATGGTAAATGGGTTAGGGATAATTGAGAAGTTTAATTAGTTCGGTAATGAGTCAAGTTGAGTGTCTGGCAGAAGATTTTACGTGAGAAAAGAATAATTTATTCACTGTTACAAAAACGTGGTGATAATCCTGGGAATTAGTTCAGAAATATTCAAGATTTTTCGCTAATATTTGCAAAATAATTTTCATGGCATACCTCCACCGTCAAATTATCCACAGGATTTTATAAAAATTTCAGACTAAATTTACAAATCCTCAATTATATGAATTTTACCGTAAAGTCGCTTGTCCTCAAACCCAGCAAGTTTTCCCATAAATGGTTTTAGACAGTCTGCGGTCAAAATGTAATATCCTGGTGCACCATAACCGTCAGACGAGGGCCCATCCTCTTCCTCCTCAGGTACTTGTGGTGGTGGCATATATCTGTTGAAAAAAAAAATAGACTGAAAATAAAATACCCACGAAAACCATAATCATAAATTAAGTTAAAGTGCTGGGGAAGCGCTTAGTACTTGGCCCAGGACGACCACCGGGAGACGGACACGGACTCTACTAGGAGCCCGACTAAAGTTTCCAGCACAATTCCATCCCATCCCTCTCTACCTTATGCATCGTCAAGCATTTTCAGGATGAAAATATGCTCGTGAAAATGCTCCTGCACCAGCCCCTCGAAGTGTTGGACCGCACGGCAAATGAGTTTGGAAACAATTTTGGGGATTAAAATTTTAATGAACTCGAAAACTTGTTAATAAAGCTGAAACGTCGGTTATACGACCGATAATCGGTCTGCGGATTTTCCAACCCCCGTTGCGATTAACTGAGAGTGAATGCGTTGGATGGCATAAAAGTTGTGGTTACCTTGGAAAAGTGTAAGGCGATTTTAATAGTAATTTTATTAATCACACGATATATTGAATTTGCTCAGGCTTTCTGCGGCCAGGGACCAGCGACGAAACAACAAGCAATTTCGGTCTGATGGACCACATTGCCGCACTCGTGTGGTTAAGAGAAAATATTGCCAAATTCGGAGGTGATCCAGACAGTGTTACCCTGATGGGTCACGGAACTGGAGCAACTCTCGTTAATTTACTTCTGATAAGTCCAGTGGCTACCAACCAGAAGAAAGAGGAAGGAGGTGAGTCCAGTCATTTCTCACGTAGCACTCGGTGGTCAGAAAAGAAAATCCTCAAAAATCCTTCTCTAACACCAGGACCTTTTTTGCCATCGAATACCCGATTTAATCGATTTGAAATTGAACGACTTTGACGGACACTCATGTGTATTCGAAACCCTTCAGCAAATTGAACTGGAGAGGCGGGCGAGAGGGCGTATGCCGCGGTGAATTAACCCCGGTGATTCAATAACGAGAGGATAGGCTGGCTTTCCACCTCCAAACGGTGAAGATAATTGCGGAATTAATTGGACGTATTAACTGACCACGGCAGATATAGCCCTTCCCCGTCCCTGCATGTCGTCAATCGGGTGATTGCATTCCGTGAAATAATTCTAACCCCTCGATCCCTCTGTGACGCTCCATTCCGCGGTGAAATTCAACCTAATCCCTTCTTTTTACGGGATCCAATGTTTGTGAATGCAATAGCATCAAAGCAAATGAATTCGCGTTATTGTTTCTGTTGCGGATTGCACAATACGCTCACAGCCCCACCCCAATTGATGGAATAACTTCTTTTTTTTTTCAAGGATTATTTAAAAGAGCTATACTCATGTCTGGCTCCGCCCTCAGTGCTGATGCTATTGGTCAAGCACCGCTCCAGATAACCAAACAGGTACACCACCACAAAATATACATCGACAAACTCAATTACCCAGTGAACGCTCCTGTATTTATTTAATTCAAAGGGTAGAAAACTCCTGAAATGAAGTCAATCCTCGAGGGAGTTGAATTTTCAAATTTCCCGGTGGCAAACCTGCGGTTGCCAGGGGATTGAATCAACCGTACCTCACAATTATTGAATTTACGGAGATGAAATTGCACGGGGGAACATCAACTCCTCATTTATTTCAATAATGCCATTATTTAATTTGGCTTTCAGGTGGCGCATGCGTTAAATTGTCCGGTAATTAGTGACACTGATCTTGCAGCATGCCTCAGAAATCGCGACACTGACTCTCTATTGAACGTGAAAATTCATAAACCAAAATATGTACCAGCTTTTGCTCCACTGATCGATAATGCCGTAATACCGAAGAAGCCTCTGAGGTTGATGGAAAATACTCAGCTATTTGGCAGGTCGGTGAATAAAATTTTACCCCATGCTATTCAATTTTTTTATTATCGCCGTACTCTAAGTCGCACGCAATATTTCTCTTTATTCTACATGATGTTCGGCGATCGATATCGACAGGTTTGACTTGATGTACGGCGTTACGGAATCGGAGAAGTTTCACATTTTATCACCGGTTGCCATGCTGCAAGGAATGTCTGACAGTGAGCGGGATGATGTGCTGCGGGAACACGCAAGGGTAAATATTAGATTAAATATAGAAGAAACATCTCGAGAGAGTGAATATTTTCTTTGTTTTCTGTTGAAGGCAACGTACGAGGTTGAGCAGGACCTCGTGCTCTCAAAAATTCTTGATCATTACGGGAACGGCGACCTCGATGGATATTCTGAGAATTATCGCATGATCAATCGAGATATCGTGCTCGATGCACTGTCTGATAGCGGTACTGTTGCACCACTCGTTATGATGGCGAAGTTGCATGCCAAAGCCAATCCCAAGAGCTACATGTATGTCTTCTCACATCCCAGGGCTATGCCCAGCAATTCCGGGGTCAGTTCTCAAGTCATGCATTCCTACATTCATTCGTCTATTCATCTATAAGGCTGAAATCGTGTCAATTTTTCAATGACTTTTTTTTTTCGTGGCTCCAGGATCGTGAGGAGCATACGGTCCATGGAGACGAGCTACCTTACATCCTTGGAGTACCTCTGGAGAGTGAAAAGTATCATCCACGTGGTCGTTACAACATCGGCGAATCACTTCTCTCAGAGGCCATGATGACCTGGTGGTGTAACTTTGCATATACTGGGTGAGTTATTGATTTACAATCAATTATGCGTTTTATTCGGAAATTTAAAGCCACAGTATTTGCGAGAAAAATGTGGGTAATGCTCTGGGGGGAATACCAATGATCGAGGGAAAAGTGGAATCGTTGAAACAGAGGGATAAAGAGTGAGGTGAGCGATAAAGGAATTGTGATAGATTGTCCCTGTCAATGATACTCCTGCGAGGCTTCTTGGTGATTGGTTGAAGCAATTTTTCATTGGTGCATGCACGATAGAATTCACGCGAGATCACTTGGTGGAATCGAATGGTTCTACCGTACGTTGGAGAATTATTATGACATACTTCGTACATTTATACCCAAACAAATAAAAATATGATGGAAAAAAAGATAATCCTTCATGCCACTCGTTGCATAAAACAGCAGATGAATTTCCATTATTCTCGGGTAAAAAACATTTTTTGAATAATCGAAAGCCTGAAAATCCACTGGACATCGTTATCACAATTTATTAAAACATTCACTTATTCCTCTCCAACTTCATCAAAAATTCATTCCCACGAACCGGAAAAAGCTCTTCCCCATACGTTCACCGATTCGAATTTGTGACAATGGTGAAATATGAATGTAAATTGAGCTCGTCAGACAATAGTTGATATTCAAAACGAAGCAGTGAAACGCAAAAACAGTATACCCTATTCCCCAGAATTATTTATGCATGCAGATGACAATTAAACGACCTTTTCCGTTATACGCACAATGAAAATTATTTTTTTATTATTCTCTCAATTTATTTTTCCAAATTTTTCTCTGAGTTTTACTTATTCATCGGGTTGGAAAATGCATTCATTCCCTTTACCGCGGTTCAATGAAATTTGTTGAAAATAATTTAGTTAATGATTGCTGATTTGACGACTGACATGAGTAAATTAACGCTTCGACGAATAGGTCGTTTTAATTTTCCCAATGGAAACAGATTACTCGGTACCTATAAATTACAATTCCCTTCTCATTTCGTTTTATATATTTTTCGCGAGAGACGACGGGGGGGTAGTTGTCGATTGGTAGTGGGGATATACCTCATCCGCACGGAAATTGGCTACGCTTCATCATTTTCAGACAGTGCCAGGAATTAGCACCTCTTTCCGATTGGATTGTTTTCCACGGAGTTATATGTAATACCTCAATTTGAATGGCAAACGTTTTTGCTTCGAATTTCATTACTCAACCTTCTATTTTATTCTTTTTTGTCATTTTCCCTCGATTTTTGTATTTTTTCAACTCCCCCGCATTTTACCTTTCGCGCTTATACAATTATACGACCGGTGTATGTAATTGATGGAGAACGACTCGTTTTGCATAATGGTAGAAATTTTAACTCGCGCAATTGTTGTTACACTCTGTCTGCATTCTTTTTTAATTACCGATCGCTAAATATTCTGTGATTTCAGCTGAGTGGATTTTCTTTTAACTGATACTTCATTTTTTCATGCATTGCCGGTAAAATTGATGGGAGAAATTATGTTTATGAAATGCCGGAATAATTTAATTCCGTCAATTATCAAAATAAACCTGTCAAATACTCCACTGCGAGATCGATTGAAAATATCTCCTAGGAAATATGACTTTCGTAAATTCCGGCATGCTGTTGTTACTAATCTGAAGTATCTAGATAAAAATGAAAATTAAGTCGGAAAAAAAATGAAATTAGCGCACAAATCGATTGTGCACGTATCCACTGTGCGCAATAGTCGTTAAAGGATCTCGTTAAGCGGCTGTGCAGGGAGAGATTAGTGGGTCACGGGTTGTGCGGGAATAACGCGGCATGCATACAAATCGAATTTTTTTTTCTTCCCGGTAAATAACGAAAAATATTTCAAACGAAAAATTTTGGTTTGACGAATTTTACAGCAATCCCAATGCACCTAGACGAACGAGGTACATGACGGATGGGCCAAAAGCATGGAGGCAATATCAAGTTGATTGGCCAGAGTATAACGTTGAGAGTGGAAGACACTTGAATTTGAGTGAGTATCGCAAATTAAAATAATAATGCACATTGACAAGGGCAGGGGGAGCGGAAAAAATTGTAAATTTGGTGAACAATCTCACGCCATAATAAATAAAAAAATGAAAAACAATTTTGATCGATTACAATACTCCATTGGGAATGAAATACTTGAGAAGCCAACTTAAAACTCAAATGACTTATTCAGTTTGTACTGCCAAACTCGATGATAAAATGTGAATGTTATGTTAATTAGCAATCCCCCCGAAAGTTGGCCGTAAATATCGTTCAAACGAGATGGAGTTTTGGAATACTGAGCTGCCGAGTGTATTTCGACTGAAGCCGCATGGCCCTCGACCCGATATACTGGATCGTGCCGATGGCATTGGCAAGTACGCAATTGTTAGCCCGTACGACTCACCCAATAGCTACAATATGAAATATACAACTGTCGTACCGAACAATCTTGATAGGTACGGGTCAACGAACGATGCGAATGATTCACGGGACAAGTTTCCTCACTCCAGCGCTCCCGGAAATTCCAAACAAGATAAATCATCGAGCGATGATGAAAGCCCATTGAGAGGCTCATCAGCAATAACGATGGTCATTGGTTTTGGCATTGTATTTCTCTTAATAAACATCACGGCGTTCTTCTTCCTTTATCACAGACGACAGGGTATGAAGAGTAAAGAGGCAGCCTCTAAGAATTCCAAGAGGCGGTTGAATGGTCTCGATGATGGGGTTAAGAGGGCAAAGCCAGATAAGCATCAGGAGAATCCCCCTGAATTGGGGAGAAAGTGCGATAGTAAACCGGATATCAGCGAAGTCATTAAGAATGACAAAGCATACGACAACAGCTCGAATTTTGGACGGAGATCGAAACTCTCGCGGCAAAATTCCAGCTCCACGATCGATACCCATATAAAAGTTAAAGAGTGGATCCAGCAGGAGATCGTCCACAGGTGAGTGATGGGGGATTTTTTTTTTTTCAACGATATTCTTGAGTTGTTGTTGAGTAATCTTCGAATGTGGTCCTTCTTTCATTTCTGCAATTCACTTGAGACTGTGTGTCTAATTGAGCGACTCGTATTCGTTGTTGAAGGGCTCTCGTATTAACGATTTACTCTCGTACGTCTACCTCCCAGCATCTTCAAACTGACTCCCAACCCTTACTCCTCTCTCAGTCGTTGACCAAGATGGCCCGGTAATCCAATTACCTCGACTACCTCCTCGAACAGCCGTACAACTACGATGAAAACTCAATACTCTGTCCCTCTTTGCACTTGTACCGTCAAGCTTTGCAATTACTTTCTCATGAAATTGGTGAATAAAATTTGCCCGATCCTTGTGAAAATTTACACGCGCCTTGATTATTAATATTGTCAAGTGCCAGAGAGATACAATCTGGTCGACAAACAATTTATTTAACAGCTTGGATTAATAAATGCTACAGTTAACCTCATTTACGCATTAATCATTTCTATTCAGCTTGAATAATATTTGCCGTGCTATTAAATTTAATATTGTTGCCTAACCACTGGCCCACATTCAGCCATTATCATTAAACAACCATAATGTGATTAATATTGTCATTAGTGGCTTGCACTAACCACCGTTATGTTGACGTAGTTATGTCTAATCGATTGTTGGTATTATCCAGTCCATGTTGCAATCAATTGAATTGTCTTTAATTTGGCATCCCTCAGATGCTCACCAAGGTTTTTACGCAAGACACGAGAGACTCTCCAGAAGGAGCACAATGACAAGATAACAAGGCAACAAGAAATTGAAGATGAACAACAGCGAAAACTCGAAGAGGAGTTATTGAACAAAAAACCAGAGCCGATATACGATGAGAGCCCTTTGATTGTTAGGCCAGGCTGTAAGAAGACCAAAGGGCCTAAAGTTTCAGTGGCAATCGATGCAACCCCAGCGACGAGGACTGAATCAATTCTCAATCAGATACCGATTGAGCTCGCCAAGAATTTGGAATCGTTCGACGATCCTTACGATAACAACTATTCTGATCCTCAAATGACACCTCAAGTCGTTGTGATAGAACATCACCATTCAAGAAGTGATCCATTGCCCATGGAAACTGTTTTCAAAACAATCAAACCCAAATTCTCAACACTCTCACGCACCTACGAATCGGATTCAGGAAGTGCTAGTAGTTTATACGCGAAAATAAATCCAAAATTAAAATGCCGACTTCCTCGATTTAACCAGCCGGAAACTGCCGAAGAGGAGATATCGAACGATACGTGCGATGGATCTGAAATGCAAAGACCGAGTGATGAGGATATCTATGGGCGAGCTCCAAAGATGACGACCTTTGGGGTACCTAATGAGGACGTTAATGTAACATGTAAAGAGCCTACCGAGCGGGAGGTTATCAGCCCGGAGGAGGCACTCAAGACGATCAAACGTCGCAATTATCCGAAGGTCCTGCCAGATATCGAGAAGAGGCGATCGTTACCCGCACCTAATTTTCTCTATGCATCTAAAACCTCCGGGACTTCTCTAAAAGACCATCGACAGGGACCGCATCCTTCCTGCGCAAGTGGATATCCACCAGTGCCACCTCCGCGTATTTTCGGGACAACGAAGAGTTTGGATCTCCCCGAGGAAGACGAACCGGTTACGACTAATCTGCACGTGGGACCTTTGCTGAAGAGACAAGACTCGATAGGAAAGAGTCAGACGGACACGAGTATCATAGACTCAATAGAACGAGTAGCAATGACTGCTCAGGAAGTCTTATCGAATCATCGTGATGAATACATGGAGATAAATCTGAGTCCAAAGTGCCCGGTCCATGGCAAAACGTTTATATTCCCTGAAGTACTTTCCACATCGAGTGCCAGTCGTTCCGCCGATAATTTGGATCGGACAATCGGCAATCCTCATTGGTACGTACAACCCGACAATGCGACAAAGGGCATTGCAAACAAGTCATTACCAGACGTCAGTATCGGCAATCCAAATTGGTACAAAACCATGAGAAAGCAGAAAGAGCCGAATCCCTTTGCGCAGTACGGAAATCCGGACGATTCTCCACCGCATCAAGCACAACTGAATGAACCAAAAATAGTAATAACACCAAGAAGAGACATTCCTGGACATAATCCGCCACCACCCCAGCTTAATCTAAGCCCATATCCAAACATTGCAGCACAGTCACAAGAATTGTATTTAGATAACATATCTAGGTCAAATGAGGAATGCTACGGGCCTCAGTATTTTGTGGAGTCCTTTGACGGTCCATTGAGTCCTCGGGATGATTCGCGAGATCCAACGATCGTTATCGCACCGTCGAGCAGTATGAAGCAACCGAAGATCATAATCAAACCAACAACCAATGTCTCAAGAAATCGCGAACGTAATATTCCCAAGGTATCAGCTATTCCCTACCCAGAAGTGCAGCATTTACCGAATAATGAGAGAGATACGAAGGGGGTGGATGTTGGTAAATCCAGTGAGAAGCCACCTATTAAGAAGAAGCCAAAAGTCACGAGAATACCGTCGTTCTCCAGGCGTAAAGAGGAACAGTGTACATCAGACAAAACGAATCCTGGGATTTACCCGGAAAAGGTGGAAATTGTTCAACGGGTTAATGCAGCACCCGGTAAAGTTTGTATTCCAGTGAACAATGATAATAAATCGTCTATTCCGACTTTGACAAAAGGGTCTGTCACTGTGGAATCTTCGAGCTGTACTGGAAATTCGGATTCTAATACTAATACTGTTAAGCGAAAGCCAGTGGATAAAAAGTGAATCGCGCAATAGTGTTTAACGGACGAGTATTAATTGTAATGGATATTTTTTATCTGACGTTTATACGATCTTCAGTGTAAGTATTTTCTACGTCGGTGTGGAGGTTTTCCATGTGGGCCTAAATATTAGTTGGAGGTGTGTACATAATGAGTGTTTGAGAGCATAATGACTTTGCGGGTGAATTAAAAGTTTGACATTTTTGGAAGGGTTGGTTAATTAGTTTTTGGATATTTATTTTGAACACGTCTGAACATGCTGGTCGTTCATTAAATGTGAATTAGGGGAGTGTAATTTGGGGAGGAAAGAGAGAAAACTCAATGTAATGTAAGAAGTGGTAAAAGTGAAATATTTCATTCGTAACTTTGTTTGTCTGTAGCCAACAAGATGAGAAATAAGTACTCTGTAGAGTTATTAAAAGGAAATTGTTTCTGCTTCCGAATAACTGCAATTAAATTTTTAATTTTTAATAAAAAATATGATAACGTGTTTTGATAGATCATTGGAGGGAGGTAAAATTTTCGGGGTTTTATGGCATACCACGAAAATGAGAATCTGATATTTGAAAATGTGCAAAAATTCACCAGTCGTTTCTTTTATAGTCATTCCTGGCCATTTCAGATAACCCTGATAATTACACCAGAGAGGGGAATAGCTTTCAACCTATGGAATGAACGAGAAAACACTGATATTCCCACGGCTAGAATTTCACCCGCCTCACTGCCATTCTGGGAGCAATACAGGCTTTTTTTTTCCCCCTATTTTGGCGAACGGAAAATCCGTTGATTTCACTTTTGCTTTGATCCATAAAACAGTCCAGGTCTTACTCAATCGATTCGAGATATATGGGTCACTGGGGAAAAATAACGATGATTTTTGTTCTCGCATTATTATAACGTCAACAAGGTGAGCAAATAAAAATTCTGAAATATGGGTATCTGTGGGCATTCGGAAAAAAGCTTCAAGCATCTCGTTCGACGAACTCTTAACGCTGTAAGCTTTTTTGTTGGTTGGTACCCCAGATGAAGTAAAAAAAAAATCGTTATGTGCGAGTGGTAGATCGAAAGTGGAAAAATCACGAAAAATAAAACAGAATGTCAAAGCTGTTCTGAGCGAAATTTTATATTCGATAGCTTCTCGATTCTAACGAGAAGTAGTTGAGGTGAAATGTGAACAATTCACTGCGTCGTTGGTCATAGCGATATTTTTTCCCATATTTTTTTCTCTCGCCTTCCGTTTCCATCCTGGGTCAGTGTTGGAATGATGGGTAAATCTAATTTCAAATCAAAAGTCAATCGTAGGAAGAATTTGCATCGCTGAAATATGGAGATTCATTCTTTTCGGTCTGACCACTGGAGTGGAGGTGTCCTTACGTGGATATATTTTTTTTTCTGAATTATCATTTCCCCTGTGATTCAAGGGCTGGAGACTTGCCCACCAATAATACTCCCCTCGGTCTGAATCAAATCTATGAACTCGCCTCAATGGGATTAATTCAATAATTACCAAAGTTATCATTAGCGAGACCATTTTAATTCAGAAGAACCATCAAAGTAACTCCAGTTATCGGGCCTCAAAGAAGGACAAGTACCCCCCAGTAATTGCCAGTAGACAGCAATGTGGAAATGCTATAGGTACTGCGGTCGATTCCACTTCTGCAGTTTCTCGTATACATTTCGTTGGTCGTTCGAAGCCCATTGCCCCTTCTAATAGCAGGCCTTGTGGGCTCGTTTTACCATTACCCCTCCAGGAAATGCTGAATCGTTGGAGCTTGTGGTTGAAAGAACCTGAACAACTGGCATTTGTACAAGAGCACGTACAACAACTTATCTAACCGTTAATTTCCATTTGTTTTTCCCTGGTGGATCATTTATTCTCATTGTTTTTTAACTCTGTCTCGGAGAGGGTATAGATTTTTCCAGAGAAGACCGCAAGGTGATTGGTACCTCATGGATTAACAGTTATTCAGTTGCCTGATGAAACGTTCGCCCTACCCCGGGTATTGTGAACACCTGAGGAATAATGCCATGCATTTGACAGTTAGCGCACATTGTCACCAGCCCATAGGACCAAGGGCCGACTATTCTCTCCCATCCCTAGGTTGTCACTCTCTCTCGCACCTTTTCGTAACGCAACTCTGAGATTAATTAGATGTGGCATTTGTGTTTCATATACCCCACGGGGCGCCGCAATTCTGGCGCTCAAATGAGTCCCCCTCTCTCTCCCACTTCACCTCTTCAACTTTCCCAGGGAAAAAAGAAATTTAAATCTCCTCCAGTCTTTACGTTTAACTCAAGTTCAAAGAAACATCAAGAATGACGCTTAATTATTCTCATTAATTTCACTTCGAGCACTGACATTTTCGGGGAGTTTGCTGATTCTTTGATGAGAAAAATTCATTAAGTAATTAGTGTGAAAACATGAAGGGACTGGTGTACGGCTTGGGGTTATAACCAGGTTTACTGTGCCATTCTCGTTCCTCACAGTTTGTAGTTACCACTCACCGGGGAGATACTACGGGGAGTGAGAAAATTGTGGAAGTATGGGAATTCTCTTTTCTCTTTGTTCAGGAAGTGTTATGGGAAGTGGAAAGAAAACTAGGGGATAAAGCTTTCAGCGTTTTGGGGGGATTTTGGGGAAGAGAGGACGTTAAATTTCAATGAAGCTCAGGATAAATCCCTCTATCGTGGCAACTTTCATATCAATGAAAGAGGAAATAATTTTTTATCATTAAACCTGTGATGATAACTATATAATACTGCACTAAAATTCCCTCCACTTTGCTTCCACCTCTCATTCTCCTGGGCATCTCTGCAATGCAAATTCCAGTTGCCACAACTTGCGATGGAGTTTCGATCAAGCGTTCTCGTCAAACATATCAGGGGTTTAAGTCAAGTAAGGGGTAGGAATCCCCAGAAATTCTACGTTTTTCGAGAACACTCGCACGATTGTTCGCAAACGGTCGTACCAACGTTTGAAACTCTGGACTTGTAAGCCACGGGCTTCTAATAGCAGGATGACAATTCCACATTCGTTTGACCTGACCAATAATTGGTGACAAAGGATTCTGAAATCAATCCCCGGTTCGCTGTAATTTTTATTTTCAATCGTAGAAAATAAAATAGCCTTTTGCCTTTTCGTATGTCTACACATGTCCTGGGGAGACACTCAGCTTTTTAAAATGCCCACGGGACCTGCACTATATTCCGTTGTCCCGTTACAGCCTAGCTAACAACTCAATTTCCGTATACTGAGTTGTCCGTTCCACTTCACATGCACTGCCATGTACCGAAAATATTCATCCGAGTGAAACACTCGGCCCTTTAATGTTTCAACAAAATGAATTTTCCACATGAAAATAAATTTCACCGATAACGAAGAGGGCAAAAAAACAATTTATTCTAACCAGAGTAAATCAATCAATATTATTCTTCAAGTGAACAATGGTAAGTGGACGTAATTATCTCAATTGGCGGATGGACCCACGGTAGAATAAACCCCGAGCAATTTTAGTCTTTTAGGAATTCAATAAAAACAACTGGCGAATGAGGGATGCGAAAACAGGAGGAAGGAAGTACGTGAGCCCGAGAATAAGGCAAATGGTCAAAAAGTGGAGAAAGCTACAATTGGATGGAAGATGGAGTGACGACTCAGGAACCTGAAATTTAATATATATTTTTTTTGCTTGAAAAAGATGAGATAAACTGGTAGTTTTGGTGTTCTATCTATAATGAAATCTCGGGCAATATTTTATCACTGCTTATTTCATCGTAGCCAACTGTTCACCATTCACGGAGTTAAGGGAAGCCCAGCATTGAGTAAAAAAAAAAAAGGGTGGAAGAGGAATGGGGTAAGTAAGAGTGAGGATATTTTACCGGGACAATTTTTACCCCTCAAACAGTTTTGTACCATCAACACCAGGGGCTGTTTAACTTCCGTCACGTTGTTCAAGTTTTCACTCTGGGTTATGAGACTAAATTGAATTTTGCAGGGGGCGAGAGGGGGTTGGGCCTCTCGGAGGCAGCTTTCATTCATTCTCGTCATTTCAAAAAACTCTGCGGGATACAGTGGCTCGGTGAAGCTTATAAGTTTCAGCGATGACGGCTGCGGTTAAAAGTATATCCACAGAATGATAGGTGAGGGAGGAGAAAACGAGGGGTAGAGATGAAAATATGTGAGGGGAAAAGACGAGACACGTGAGGCACGCCCCATCGTACCAGGACCGACGACAGACAGGATGATTCATCTTCCCCATGAGGATTATTGTGACCTAGGATCTTGTTGCGTTTCCTATCCACCTCCCCACCTCTATTTACTGTACCATTCTTTCGTCCTTTTCACGCTGTTATGACGCTTCTGAAAGGGTAATCGTCGAGGCTTCAACATCTTCAGCATCCCCCTGAGGAGGGACCTGCAAGTACCATTCATTCTACTCTGCCTCCTCCCATTTTTCGAATACACCCTTCATCATTTCGACTAATACCTTACGAGGATTCCTTTAATTTCGGATAGTACTCGATTTGAATTAATAATGTATTTGTGCATTGATTCAATTTTAAATGTAGGTAGAACTTGGGCCAGTGTTGCACCGAGGTTGCACCTGTATAACTCTGGCAGCAAGCCAAGCCCCGATCTACAGCTAAAATTTTCCACTACTTCTTGCAATTCCAATCCGCTCGACGGATATTAGCTGGATCTCTTTAATTAGTTCCCTTTTCGATTCGACCCAGTGGTTTCAATCCCCTGCCTCTCATGCACCTCGATTTAGCCCTAGATTCCGTCAGCGATAATCACACGTCCTTTAATTAGCTTGAGTCGTGGTTTGCAGTTGGGTTGTGACCAAAGGTTTCAACGATGATTGAATCCTCAATGGACTGATGCATGGGCTCTGAATTTACGCCCGAGGCAGTGGCTGTTAATTCAGTGAATTTTCAATTCCATTCCACTGCAATGAATTGTTTTTCAAAATTTCCAATGTGATATCAGCTTGATTGTTAAAATTCTGACGCTCTTATACGGTAACGCCTCCACTATCGCAATCATGTAACTTTGGTAATGAATAGTTGGTATCGAGAGTGCGTGACATGATGCCACGGTGTAAGATCAGTTGGCTGTGGCTCCTCCGTGTAATTGAAATCCCTTGGGCACCTGGGTATACCGGGATATTCTCCGGTAACCTCACGAAGAACGGATAAATCTGTGGCGTACCAGCTGCGCTCTCATCGCGCAACACACACGGCAATTCGGTGAATCGTGCAGAGGACTTTGGCAAAACATCACTTGGCAGTTTAGGATGTGTTCCTGGAAACGTGAGAGGGTCCATCTAGTTCCCATTTGCACAGATTATTCGGATGAGTGATTGAGGGAGATCATCTTGTTCCTTATTTTTCTCTTCACCAGAAAAATTTCATCACTCGATTTAATCACTCGTATTTTGACGAGCAGTTCCGGTGGGAAGTGTTTCACAGCAGCTTCCGGTTTTTTTTTAATCTCTAATTTTTTTTTTTAATCTCTCTAATTTTTTTTTTAATCTCTCGGGGAATATTTTAATCCTCGTATGATCAAACCGGATATGTTAGTACATATCTTAATCGGTCGTTGGTCTAGGGATTTTTTAGCTGGCAGCATTGGAAGAGAGCTTCCGGTTTGTTCGTTAATCCGGGAGGAATTTTACGCGTTATGATTAGGCCTTCGTCGCATTGTTTGATGTGTGTCACGAGTTGGGTGAGTTTCTGTAATTAATCGTGTTGGCTGAAACACTGTGTGCATGAGTCAGTGAAAATGGGAAAATCCCTAGGGCAACTTATGGTACCATTGGCAGCACTGAATCGATACTCTCTGTCCTCCTTTTTCGCGCCTCTTCCGCGACCTGCGCAGCATCCACACCGGTGATTCTCGCATCAGAGACTCCAACTTTTCTGGCCGGATTACACTCCTCGTCTGTATGACATTAATAACAATTTTTTTTTAATTTTCCAGAGTCATCTTTATCTCACACGTGTAAAGGATCCCTCAAGCTTGTCCCCCGGAAGTATAATCACGATATCCCGAGCTTGCAACAAGATCACAAGCAGATAGGTAATATTACCTTTCAATGAGAAATTTTGAATGACTCAAAGCTCTGGAAAATCTGCGTTGAAAAGTTTCATTTCGGGGATGAAGCGAATCTACTGTGCGAGTTCCCTCGATTCTCTCCCTTTGATCTTTTTGAAATGTCTGGGCGAAATGCAATGAAACATATGAAAATTTATACCTCATGGCAGACACGATGGAACATCATGTATTAAGCAATAGTTTTTTCGTATTTATTTTCATTGAGGAGATAAAACGTGATAAAAAAAAAATGAGCTGGTGGAAAAGTGTTGTGGTATTTTCACGTTTGGTCGACTATAAAATATGAAAATGTTTCTTGAAAAAAATTTGACGAAATAAGTTTTCTCGACTCGTTAAAGTGTAATCCGCAGGATCGACCGAATGGGCGCCGGTGCGCGAGTGGAATATCTCAGTGTACGGTGCGCCGGTGCCGACGGAGATTTTCCATTCCCGCACTGTAGTCGACCTCGAGAGCTTCGCAGGCTCCGGACGTTACCAGGTCGGTTAAACCGAGGTGTGAGTTATGTTGCTGCACAGCTCGGTACCGGTTTCGTGTTGTTATACATCCGGTGATGCGTGAAAGTCGTTGACAATTCCAGAGTGAAATATCATGGAGACGTACCAAAAATCTTCTAACAAAAAATTCATTGCCATTCGATCAGCTATTAAATTACATGAGAGAGTCTCGATTGCTCTCGATTTTTTAAATCTTTAATTAAGCGATAATCAAACAGGAAGTCAATCATTAGTTCTCATAGTCGAGCGAGTGTCAAAGGCAATTAATCAACTCTGCATCGAATACTACATTCACCGGAACATTTCCGAGGATTCCGGCATTGTTGTACCCCTCAAATTAAACAAAACTAATTGCTGTTTTCCAAAAATCCATTGAATCTCATTGGGCGATAAATTTTTTGAATGAGTGGCTGTGGAACTCGATACATCAGAAAAATTCAGTCATAAATATTGAAAACCATGACAGAGCCTCTTCATATCGGCTATTTCAATGTGTCAAACATATGATTGATTGTTTTTCATGAGTGCAATTGAGATATTTGGTTCTCATCCAGTGAATAACGATAGAGTGGTGAATTATTATTTCAAAGTGAATGTGCATATTAATCAATTGGAAGGTACACGCCGTGATTAATCGAGGCTGTAAGTAGTTAATCAAGGAATTGTAAAAATTTTGTCGATTCATCATCGTAAAGATTAAATCTGAAATTACTCATGACTGTTGAATAGCTCTGGGGAAATATAACGCTATGAATTTTCAGGGGAAATTGTGAATGGAGAGCATAACACTCGGTGAGGTATTTCGAGAATCATCTCCTTTAAACTGAAATTTCAACTGAAGATAGTCTTTTCCATGGGAACGGAGATTTGCGACTGTTTCGATGTTTTTATTTTTTCCTTTTCTCGTGGCTCCTGTGATGCACTCCATTTCCATCTTCTTGGATGAAGAATGCGCGGTAGATAGGTCTCCCTTTTCTCCGCCCATCTGCATTCTTTTTTTGTCAGGTTTCTCCAGATTCTGTCATGCGGTACAAGCCGAGTGATATTTCATGGAGAACAAATAGAAAGACGAGAGATAAGTTACAAAGTAAATTTTATTCACTAGACGGTTGACGATTCTCAATGCAACACGCAATCAATTCGATTTATACCCAATCGAAGCAATACAAAATCAATTTCAAGATAAGGCTGAGCGAAAATGAAACCGCGGAGCATTTCCGTGGTTTATTCTCGCGAGTTCTATTTCGTAATATTAAAAATTGTAATGTTGAAACAGGAAATTTTATAGCGTTGTGAAAATTCCACATAAATGCGAGAAAAATTTTGCATACCATTTTTTTCCTGCCCATTACCATCCGCAATGGTACTAGAATTTTTATGTTTTTTATGAATTTTAACTACTGTACATAATGGGCATGATTTTATATGGTTTGTAGTGAAATAGTTGAGATCAATCAGCGAGATACTCAAGCTCTCGCAAACTGCATGCTCATCTTTCTTCTGAGAAACCCAAAGTGTTCCCAATTTTGCTCGGTTTCCGGTTGGCACTGCATACCGAAAACTTTGTCGTGAGTTTTTGGCGTACAGTTTATAACCACTGGTCCTTTCATTGCGACGATATCCAACGTGAATCCTTTTCAAAATGTCCATTAGTGCAACACCGCTTCAAGTTATATTTCATGTCACATGGGTAAAAGCATGCATACAGGCATAACTTGGGATTCGTAAAAAACGAGAGGAGAGATGGGTTACCTCGGATTTTTGTCATTTTCCAGGTTTTTCAGAATGCTTCGTTGAAGATAACCCTCTGGCATCCATTTTAATAATTAAATGGATTTCTTTTTTTCGGTTTTGAGGGATGTACAATGTTTTTTTGATGCTTTATCGGAGAGTTTTATGTTTCAGAAGGGTAATGAGATATTTTTATGAGATTTTTCCTCACTTTTTTCAACCACAATGACATAATTCAGTTTCCCCTCATATTCAGCTGTAATATGAATACCTGATGGCATTTAGGGGACAAGAGTAATGAAAAATACTTCTGAGTTTCTTCACCAGTTCATAATTCGATGATTCATTCCCCCTTAACCGTCCACTTCATTATCGAACTTTGAACTATGTTACAAATTTAGCGGATGCAACCTGGAAATATCGAGGGGTGAAATTTCATAGCAATTTAGAAATTCTTGACTCCTAAGAAACTTGCCCGGTATTTTCAACATTCCTCAGCGCAGTAAGAAAATTTTACCAGACCGCAGCCTTTGAGATTGAAAAATTCCACAAATGGAAAGTCGACTGATGCGGAATCATTCTGTTGTATCACCCTATCCGATCGTGAACGAATCCAGCTTCTTCTCCACTCGAGCATTACACGTTCATGCTCACCAAAAATTTCCCATTACACCCAACTCCGGACTAGCATAAGAAACTCCGTGAAGACACTCTGGGAGTTTAACCCACCGGGACACCCCAAATTTCAACTATGTACCTTTCAGTACTCCCACAGCCCCCCAACTATCTTCCCCCGACCAGTCCTGTAATCTTGGTTTAACCCCGCTTCACAATTGCACATTCAAAGCGTAATTTCAACTTTAAAACTTCAACTTGAACCAACACGAGTGTGTAAAGTCTTATATGGCTGTTGCCATCTCACAATTTAATCCAAAATTTAACTTCCACAACTCCGGAGAGCATACTGGCACACAAAACAATTTTTCCCCAATACTCCTTGCATTACGACATGATCTGTGCACTCACTACTCCACTGAATTCCGAAATTTTCACCGAAAATGAAAAAAAAAAAGGGGAAAATTCGACCTTTCCATCACTCGCACCTATTTTTCCGCGATATGAAATGGATTCTAGTATTAGTTGCCTTATCGAACACGTCACGCTGTGCTCGATAAACCTTCATATCTGATAACCATTCCATCACCGGAAATAACCCGCGATTCACAATTTTATCTCACAACCATGAGTAATTCTGTCCAGGTAAAAATATGTAAAATCCGCATTGCTGTTTGAATTCATTTTTCTTCATTTATCCCTCTCCCTGTTTGTTTGAATAAAATGTGCGAGTACTTACATTCCCGGGTGATTCGTTATGACTGGACAGAGTTGGACTAGAGTGAAAATAGCAGGAGAGAGGTTTTTGATGGTAACTGCAGTACAGTGCATAAGTGAGATGCGTTGTCGACAGTAATTTCCACGGTATTCATTAATTTTTATCACGTAGTGACGTAAACATAATATTTTTCATGCCAAAAAAGCCGTAAAACAGAGCACTGGGAGCATTTAGATTAAAAAATTGACGAGGGCTGTGTCTACATTCCAACTGTTACCAGGGGAAGTTGAGTTGTCTGACCACTTCGCGGGTTGTTTCCACTCGCCCTGGAGCCCATTGAGAGCTTTATCCGTGTTTCGTACTTGAGGCATTCGTTACAACTTTAATGACACTTTGAAAGTTGTCCCTTAGTCGTATGACTACAAGACCTGAGGACTCATTCAAATTTCTTGAATAATTAATACCAAGACATAATATCCTCTGACGAACATGCCAATTCGATCTGAGATTTTCATCTCGTGTATAAACCCCAAAAATCACAACTCGCATCATCAGATGAAAGGCTTGAAAATAATTCAAATGGAATAGTGATTTTTATCGATACCTCTCCTGTATGCAATTGTGCTCACTCGAAGTTTTTTCCATTTGATGGAATCCATTGAAAACTCCCACAAAGTTCCATTGAAATTTTTTTAAAAACAACTGCATTGCCAGGGACATTCCCTTCGCGGGGACAATAAAATTGAAAATTTGTCGGAGTTTAAATAAAGGATATTTGTTTTCCATTGGGGAATGTGAGATGAGGAAAAAATGTAAAATCCATGTGAATATTCCTCAAACTGAGATCCCCGTTCACTCGTCTATTTCTGTCATAGAATGTCGACAGTTTCATTGCTGAACAAAGTGAAACCAGATGCAATATGCATGCCATAATATCCACAGAGTTCAGAAAGACCAGAGAGCGATGAAGTTCCAAACTATGATTATACCGGTGGTTGGGTGGTACTGGTGTACCCGGTGTATTGGGAGTAGAAGAAGGACACCAGAGGCTGAGAGAAATGGGGTGAACCGAGAAAGAAGGGAGTTTGTGCTGAATGCATTGAAATTCTTCTTTCCTCTATTACCACGTTTCGAGAAAAAGAAACAGAGTTGCAGGGGTTTCCCAAGCTCTCAACATCCGTCTCGTGGCGGATGGAAAATGTGTTTCATCAAAACTTAGTTGGTTACTCAGTGGGCGAGAGGAGTGAGAGTCAAAGGCGTGTCTGGTGGTTGCCACTGAGAAAATTGAAACTATTTCGGGGGTTTGAGTTCTACGAAAATAATTAAAATATGCCAGCTAAACTAGAACCAAACAGAATATTATTGTCAAAATTTTTCACATTTTTTTCATTTCATTATTTAACTCTGCCCTATCCCCTTGATTTATTCATTGAAATTGTATTGATCGCATAAGTCTGCCAAACTTCCAATCCTGAATCATTCATGAATGCAAATTATTTGAAAGGAAACGCATGAAGAATTTATGGAGTTTGGAAATATTATCTACCTTGACAGAATTAATTAATGGTAATTACACTAGCTTGGCACTCTGTCGAACAGCAACTGAATGTTATAAAATGAGTTAAACAACATTCGACAGTGAATTCTCAAATTTAATCACGACATGAAACTTTTTCAATATAATAAAATACAGTTGGAAATTCACTGTCGCATAATTAGTCAAACTGTCATGCTTCAAAGAGCGAAATCAAAAGGGAAAAATCAGAAAGCAGGGGGAAATTAAATACCCTCAATCAATCCAAAAATGACAAAATTCCGACAAATCCAGGGCTCGCTGGAAAAATTCATCGATCAATCATCACCTATTTTTCCCTGATAACCCACATCCCATGCACAATGTTCCTTTTCAATGGAATCGGGGAATGGATAGTCGAAATCTGTGTGAAATGAAGGAACTGAGGAGAGTGAGATAGATGAAGAGAGCGAGGAGAGGGAGAATCGGAATAGGTGGTGGTGTTGCTACAGGCATGAGTGCTCCGATCGAGTATTAATCGCTGTGGATAACGCTCAAGGCGTTGACGGATCCAAGGGAAGATTGATGTTTTCACGGTGTAGCGTTGTGAGACGTTGGTTGAGCTCTTGGAGATGGAAAGCTTCCCGAAACTCTGGATGAAAACTTCTTATCGGTGGATATTGTAGAGAGGGGTATATACCATCGACTATCGCAGCCCAACAAAACTTCACCGCAAAGTTACACCGTAATTTCTTATCCATTTATCCATATTACATACACAGGTTGTTATTGGTTAATACATTAGGGTGGAATTCCATTAGGCCAGACTGAGTTCATCATCCCACTTGAAATAATAGATTTGTTAGCTTCTGGGGGTGATAGAAAACGTGAGAAAACTGACAATCCTAGGAATAAAGAGAAAATCGTAGATATTGTACTTTATCAAGGTTTTTCGTAATCAACAGTAAATCAACAGATTTTTTGTTGAATGAGATCTGCAGGGATTATTCATTGATAGGAATCAATTCATGAAAGTTGTTGGTGAAATGTAACTTTTTAGAACTA